ACGAACATGAACCATCCATCGAGAATCAAAGTGATGTCAGTAATAAGTCATTTTCGCCAGAACAATCTAGCCAGCATACAGAATCTGAGTATCCAATTGCACCTAATAAAATTAACTCTCCAACTAAACCAGATGAGACCTTGTTCATTGAATTTGATGATAATTTGATGAACTGTTTCAGGTTTTTGCCTTGACATATAAATGATTTTAAGATTATTTTTAAACTCATTATTAAGCCATTAAAAATGTTGTTATCATTTCTGACAGCTGGTATGAGTGTTCGTAATCACCCAAGGATGAACTCTATTGAAAATTAGAAGAATCGAAAAATATTTAGTATGAGTTATTGCCCTTGTTCTTGAAAACGCGTTCAATTTTTAGCTCGTAAACACTCTAGAAGGCACCATTCTAGACGGATTTGACGAAACTTGGTGTGAATGTTTGTAATCACCCAAGGATGGACCCTATTGAAAATCAGAAGAATTGAAAAATATTTAGTATGAGTTATTGCCCTTGTTCTTGAAAACGCTTTCAAATTTAGCTCTTAAACACTAAAAGGCATGATTCTTGCTGGATTTTGAAAAAACTTGGTTTTATTATTCAGTCCCGAGCTGAAGATTGAATATTTGCCTTCTAGAGTTTTCACGAGCTAAAAATTTAATACGTTTTCAAGAACAAGGGCAATAACTCATACTCAATATTATTCAGTATCGCACTAAGGAGTTCAAAAGAAGTGTATGACTGAAGGTTGAATATTTCATACTGGTGATTGTTACTGTACTGCTAAATATTTTTATTAAAAAATAAAAGCTGCCAGTGGGCATATATTACCTTGCCTGGCAAGCTATCTTTGATAATCCAGATCAAATCACATGAAAACAAAAGATCGCTGAACTAAACTCTGCTGATTAATCACCGCCTATGACATCGCTTCAAGATCAAGGTAATTGCCTTTAGATCAAATGGCAGGGGTACTCGTATCATTCATTACACCGTATAGAACATTAATATGCATTTTAACCATTCTTTGTTTCGTGTGTTATCAAAATTCTCAAGCTATCAATTCTCGTCCTGCGAAGCGTGCCCGTATTGCGACCTTTGCAGAAATATTGAGCTATGAAATTTGGTTTAATCGAACAACAATAAACGAAATTTTAAAACTTAAAGAAATTTTTTTTAAAAAGTATGCCGACAATATTAATTCCAATAAAAAGCGTATGTACGGTAGCTCAAAATATGAACAATTGAATAATAGTAACAAATACAACTGAATTGTCTTCAATTATTGTCTTATTATTAGAAAGGTACCATGTGTAGAATCTGAGTCACTGAGCTATAAATAGTGATATGTTAAAATATGTTGAAACTCCGACACTCTCGCTAATCCGATATTGTTTGTCTCGGTGTATGTCAGATTACGCAGAGTATACTGTATATAGAAAAAGTGAGTAAAATTCCTAGTTTGAAATATTTTTAAAGGAATTATGCGAATTTTGTACATTTCTAGTACTTCTGAAGACTATTTACATATGTTCAAGGCTAAAATCAACCCCCAAAATGGCACACCTGTCCCTTTAATGAATATTAATGGAAGATTAAAATATCTTCAGTCTGTAGTAAATATGAATACCAGTCAGCATGTCGACTAAACAAATTATTCTGATTATTTTTTTATACGCCCAGACATAAATATGGGTGTATATTGTAGTTGCCACTGTTGGTCCGTCCGACGGTTCGTCCAACCGTTCACATTTACCTTGTGCTCACTCTACAGGCTACAATTCTCCATGGATTCTTTTGATCTTTTGTATGTGTGTCAATGTCATTATGAAAATGTGCACTATTGAATTTGGTGATGATCTGATGATTTTCTTTAGAGATATCGCATAAAACTCTGATATCGCGTTTTTTTCATTTTTTTGGCTTGTGCCCACTCTACAGGCTATGATATAAAGTTTGTTTTACAGTTCACATTTAGCTCTTTATCAAGCTGCTGGTGGTCGTATTCGCTTGCGAGACTTGCCGCAAGCCTATGTTTGTCAATTGAATAATTGAGAGGTTTATTGTGATGCGGTATTTATTATTTTTTACAAATTGAGAATATTGAGGTGAGTATAATTTATATAATTGATTTATTTATCGGATACCTGAAAGTTTTAATTTCTTGTTCAAAACTTGTAGTATTAAAAGCAACGGAGTTGAAAGCTAGAAGTTTTAAAAGGTTCGAAATCTATGGGATAAGGTCTCGTTTCCACGTTCGGAGCTGTTCACAGTTCAAGTTTTACATTGTTACCAAAATGAAATATAATAATAAAAGGATGGTTATCACAACTTATCTGCGTATGTTCACCTTTTGAAGACAGGATAGAAAAATACGATTCAATACTGTTTTTATAACATTTTGAATATCTAAAATCATAAAAAAGAGAGGAGCAGTGCTGTGCCAATTGGCAGCTTTGATTTTGATTGAAAATAGTTGGCAGTACAGTAAAAATCACCAGTATGAAATATTCAACCTTCAGTCATACACTTCTTTTGAGCTCTTTGGGTGATACTGAAGAATATTGAGTATGAGTTATTGCCCTTGTTCTTGAAAACGTGTTCAATTTTTAGCTCTAAACATACTAAATATTTTTCGATTCTTCTGATTTTCAATAGGATTCATCCTTGGGTAATTACGAACACTCACACCAAGTATTTTAAAAATCCTACAAGATATGTGCCTTCTAGAGTGTTTACGAGCTTAAAATTGAACACGTTTTTAAGAACAAGGGCAATAACTTATACTAAATATTTTTCGATTCTTCTGATTTTCAATAGGGTTCATCCTTGGGTGATTACAAACGCTCACACCAAGTTTTGCCAAAATCTGTTAAGAATTGTGTCGTGTAGATTGTTTACGAGGAATTGTGGATGGATTCTGTCGGTCCATCATGGTTGACTGCAACCTACGTCCCCCATTTCACGTTGGCGTATAAAAAAGGGCTTTGGCGCCCCCGTGAAGACTCAGACGCCCCTTGATTTTCTGTCGTATATCAAAGAAATAATTAAAACACTAGCTGAATAAAGTCGTTCAATACAATCAGTTACTATGTTTTTGCGCTCTTCACCACCGAGACCATTAATCAAAAAATATCCGACCGGCAATTTCCAGGAAGATTTCAGATCAACCACCATAAACACTTCCTTTGCAAATGGAAGGGAATCGTCATTGAGTTCTGTACCCATGTCAACATGTGTATTGTAACTTCGTCCATCATTAGGGAACATGTAATTTTTTCCTCACCGTGTAATTCACTGCGCTTCCTGAGGGCTTTGAAGGCAGTATCGTTAAAGCCAGGAGCATCGTCCACATGCTTGTACCATTTACTGGTCGTCCTGGGATGGGGCAGACAAGTATCAAAACCTTTCCTGACGTAATTGTATGCTCGAAGCGAGTAAAAGTGCAGGGTTAATGCAAAACTTCTCAACTCTGCAGAGTATTTTGTTGGTAAGGGGTGGTTTTCAATTTTAGCCTTTTGTCTTTTTAATAAATCTGAGATTCCACCAGCACAGACCTCTACCAGATCAATACTACTACAGTACTACTGACAATGGCATCCTTTCCCATGTCGGCTATAACATTCTTAAGTTAGGCATTTTGTTTCAGAAGACGTCTTCTAGCCTGCAGAAGTGTTTTTATTTTCTTTCGAGAGGAAATAAGTTTGTTCTGACTTTCTTCTAATTTATGTTTCAGTGAAATTTTCTCCTGATGACTGTTGGTGTTGAAAGGACTGCAGCATGTGAACTAGATGTAGTGTGGAAAATTGGTCGTTGAGTTGAGGGGCAGTGGGGCGTGATATTCTCCTTTAAATAATCTGGAAATGCAGCAAAAACAGACGCAATAGCAGATGGCTAAGTCGAACATTGCACCGTGATGTTCTATCAAAGTCTTCTTCTTTAAAATTTTCAGTACAAAGATGTGCTGACTTGGAAGGGGTGAAATTCTGTCGTCGGATTGCTCGTATCCATTGACTTCTCAAGCTCACATCCTTGGGAAACCTGCAAATGAAAATCAATTCGTAAGGCTAAGCATACATGTGTAATCTACCGATGTTGTCGGGTTTCTACCGCTTTTGCATGTTGTCCACCACTCTATTGACGGGAAACCTGATTCTACCGATTTTTGCTTTTTTTCCTGATCAAATTTTCACGGACCTACTGTTTTCAATGATCAAATTCTCTACCATAAATCAACAAAATATCTATCATTTCTTGTATCTTGATTGACGGTGACATGAGTAGTATAAGGCTCTCCATTATGGTCGCTCTTTTCCCCAATTCCATTTCATTCCATGGGAAAAGAGCAACCATATTAAAGAGCCCCCAAAAAAACCTAAAAACCCTACATTTCATAAATTCTTACACTAAAAAAAGACCTAAACACCCTACATTTTATAAATTCTTTCACCTATATACCCTTAAATTCTTACACCTATACACCCTACATTTCATTCATCAAATACACCTTCAATCAATTCCTACATTCCATCAAAAAAGCATATTAAAAATACCCCTATAAAAAATAACATCCGGTTTTTAATAATGTAGAAGGGAGGTAACTCTTGTTTTGGAAAAAAACAGACCACAATTTTCTACTCAAATTTTAAACCTTAAAAATGGCAAATAAAGTACTAGATCCAATCTTTAAATTATACGATCCGATTACTTCAGTATAATAATGTTGTTGAGAATAATAGGTGGGGTAATTACGTAAATTGGAAATTATATCCTTTCCTAAGGTTTCCATAGAGTTACCATATAAAATTCATCTACAAAAAGAAATCAACGATGGTAAAATATTCTTTGGAGAGAATGCTTCAGATGCAAAATTAGAAATAACGAATCTCCAACTTTTTATACCCGTAATAACACCGTCAATTGAAGTAGAAACGAGAATATTCAACTCATTAACTAAAGATATTGAAAAAGCTTTTCTTCATCGTAATACGGTAGGTAGCATGACTTTAACTGGAGAATCCACCACATGGCCAATCACTAACACTATTAAACCAGTAAGATATTTAATGGTTGGTTTCAAGAACTTACCAGATTCTCAAACGAATAACAATAATGTCTTCAGAGTGGCAATGAACCAAACTCAAGATCCTTTAATCCATAAAGTTCAAGTAAGATTAAACAATGATAATTATCCTAACCAACCTTTAACAATTAATCCATCCACAAAGGATTATAATGAATTGTATAGAAACTATAAAAATATGTGTGAATTATTCGGAAATCCACCTCAGTTTGAATATGTAGATTTTGCACTTAATCATCCAATCTTCTGTTTTGATCTATCGGCTCACCAAGAAGATCTTTTCAAAACAGGAGTGAACATAAATATTCATATTAACAAAACACAAGGAGATGTGACCGGTTATTGTTTATTATTGGAAGAAGCAAAACATTTAATTAAAATAGCAGATAGAAGAATGATAAGAATTGAGTAAAAAATACACCTTTAAAAATGAAACCAGAAATTTTAGTTATAAAAATAATAGACGCTGTTGAAACAGCTTCCCCAACTGTAATAACTTTCAGTGGTAAAAAAATAAACATAACTAAATAACGTATTGATAAATACAAATATTGTAAAGTCAGAGATGATTTAGAGTTAGAAAGAATTGACTCGAACGAAAAGGAAGGTGGATTTTTACCTCTCCTACCTTTAATATTTGCTGGTATTACCGCTGCTGGTGTAGCAACTGGTGGGATATCTGCCGCAGTAAGTTCTGCCAGAAAAAATAAAATTGCTGCAATAAAAGCTGCCAACGAAAAGAAAGCAGCTGATGTTAAAGCCGCTGAAGAACGCAGACATAATTTAATAATGGAAAAGGAAGCACGAGGTTCAGGAGTGGGAGATATGATAGGCACAATAAAAGAATTTGGAAAAAGACACAGGAGAAGTCAAAGTCAAAGATAATGGTAATGGAATATTTAAAAAAAATATACACACTGGATAAGGATTATTTCTTTCAAAGTATAAAGGAGAAGGAGTGATTTTTGGAACAAAAATATAGAATAAAAATGGGAAAGAAATTCAAACATTCAGAAATATTTCCTAGTAACCTAATGCTCATGTGTATATGCCGTAGTTCCGGTTCTGGGAAAACTCATCTCACTTTTAACATGTTGTCAACACCAAACCTTTCAGATTTCGATTCACTATATATCTACTCAACAACACCAGAGCAATCGTATTATCAATTCCTCAAAGCTTTAGAATATCTACCAAAGAAAGATGTTCAATACATATTTCAATATTACAAAGAAAACGAAGAAGAAGTGGAAATAAAAGATATCATAGAAAACTTCGTTATATCAAAGAATCCAACGGATATAAAAGTTTTTCTTACAAATGTTAATGATCTAGACTTGTCTAATATTGATAGCAATCGAAAGAACTTAATATTACTTGGCGACTGCGTAGCGCAAAGAAATCAAGCTGTTCAACAAGAATTCTTCACGAAAGGAAGACATCACAACTGTCACTGCATATACCAATCCCAATCTTTTTATGGGATGGATTCTATGCTCATTAGAAAAAATGCAAATTGTTTTTTATTTTTTGAATTAAACGACAAAGATTTATCTCAAATCATTCAATCGATAAATCACGGAATGGACAGAGATACATTTAAAAAGGTTTGTAAATCTCAATGGAAAAACCCAGATGATCATGGATATGTATTTGTTAATACTAGAAAACCTGCGGGTGAAAGAGTTATGACAGACATTTGTTAAATTTTATTTTTTTAAAAATGGATAATTGAAATAATTTTTTAAAAAGAAATAGAGAATATATCAAAGCTAAGAATAAAATAAAGACCCAAGTTGAAAAAAACAAATTACAACAACTTGGATTAACAGAAAATCTACAAACTCTATTTCAACCAATATTAAAATCTCAAGAGGATATTAAAAACAAATTAGCTTTAGAATATAAACCTCCTATAGAACCCACACCTCGTATAGAACCTCATCACCCCAAACCGATTGAATATGAAGGTTTTATTATAATTAGGACATTAAATGATATAAAACATTATTTTTCAAACCCTAAAGCAGATTTACCAAAGAGCATTTCACCAATCGTTGATGATGAGGGGTTATTGTTTAATGGTTTAAGAATAAGATTTAGTCCAAATTCACCACAATTCAAAATCGATACAAAAGACTTTATATTAACATTAACAAAAGGGTTAATAGATTTAATGAGTGGTAAGGATGTTGGCATTGCTGATCGCAAGGATTTAGTAGCATACTCAAAATTTCTAAATGCAATAAGAAAGTCGGGACCCGAAACAAATAGATCAAAAGAAGTTAAACTATATATAAGAGTAATTGAACATGATGATGAATACGAAGTTGACGAAATAGATGATTATGCTGAAGACAACAATCCAATCATACAAGAAATAGACGAATTCGAAGATATGGCATTTGGACAAGGTATAACGTTTTCAACCGACAACAACGAGGAACTACTTAATAGATTACGAATAATATTAACGGCAATGAAGGAAGGACATCGATCACACAGACAATTTAATGAAGTAAATTGTATATTAAAAAGACTCCTAGAGAAAGGTATCATAGACAAAAATGATTATAAAAGCATGATTAAAAATGTCAAATAAAGAACAACTATTCGTCATCACCCCAAATAAATCAGACATTAAATTGTCTCTAGATTATGAGTACGAACTCGATCGCAATCAAGAATATGAATTGGGATTAAAGTATTTCTCTGTTTACAATTCCATTAGAAATATCAACGAAAAAAATAACCAAATAAAAATATCAACAGATAACGGAGTTACGTTCAAAACCATACGTTTACTACCAGGAAGCTACGAATACATAGCCATTAACGAATACCTATTTGAATATGGAGGAAGTGTCAATGGTAAAAACAATATTGAATTCGAAGGTAATTTAAATCTGAACAAAATAAAATTGATATTGAGAAATAATAGTCAAGTTGATTTCAACGTAGAAAATTCATTGAATACGTTACTAGGATTTGATAAACAAATATACACGCAATCCACTTTAGAACCACACAAAGCTAATATCGAGAATGATATCAATGTGATAAATATACATTGCAATTTGATAAACGGTGGATTTTTCAATAAATACAAACGTCAGATTATTTACAGTCTTCCAACATTCACTGTACCGATAGGATATAAAATTATAGAGAAACCATTTCAAACAACATATTTACCACTTAATTCCTTTATGATTAAAGATATAAACTAGTGTCCAAAAGAAACGATACCAACTTATTTGGTGAATTGAATTGTCTAATATGAAAACATGCCAATTCGTATTGCACATCCCAAACACAGCATAGTCGATAAAAATACCGGGAACACGTGATCACTTCTTGAAAAAACGTAAATTTCATGAAAGTGACATTTCTCTCTCTAGCATGTTCTGCACGTGCATAAAAACTGTATAAAACGACTGATCAGACACGTTGATATCACAGCAACATAAAAAACACAAGATATGCCACGTTTGACAGCCATCGAGAGAGAGAGAGCCATTGGAATGGTCAAACAAGGAGCGACACACGTCGACGTCGCCAGAAGGTTGGGCTGCGCACGCATCACTATAAGCAGGTTGATGCAGTGGTTACGTCAGACAGGTCAGACGTCAGACAGGCCAAGGAGTGGAAGACCACAAGTAACCACGCCCCGTGAAGATCGTTACATTCGGGTATTACACCTGAGGAACCGCACCGTAACAGCGACGTCCACGGCGGCTACAGCACTGGGACACAGGATCAGTCGACAGACCGTCTACAGGAGACTACGGCAGTATGGTATCCGGCCACGTCATCCCTACCGCGGACCGCTCCTGACGCCTCGACACCGGAACAACAGACTGATCTGGGCCAGGCGAGTTGGACGTTGGCAACGGCGGGACTGGGCACGTGTTATGTTCTCTGATGAGAGCAGATTCCTCATCTTCAAAAACGATGGACGGTAGCTTGTATACCGACGATTTGGTGAACGTTTGGCGCCTAATTGTATCCAACAGGTCCGGCCGTTTGGAGGTGGAGGGTTAATGGTTTGGGGTGGCATATGTGGTGACGTCAAAACGAGGCTTGTCGTAATTCGTGGAAACCTGAATGCACAGCGTTATATTGATGACATCCTACGGCCTGTTGTGGTGCCCTTTATTCAGCAACAGCCTC